CCCCCCCCCCCCTCTGTCCGCTTCTCTATGAATGAAAATCGCTACATACCTTGCGCAGGTCTTACACTCACCACGACCGCTGCTGGTATTGAAAAGTTTCAAGGAGAGCAAGGGCGTCTTGTCCTCGCAAGACGGCCGGGCTCACCCCCGGCGTAGACAACAAAGGGAAATAGAGTGAATGTTGTTCTCCCGGAAACGAGACCCGATTTTCCATTGACACAACTGACACTATTTTCTTCTCGCCCTCCTCCCAGATCAGCAGGGGGAGAGAAAGGAGAAAACACAACCCGTCGCCTGCTGTGACACTTTGTTTCAAAAGTTAGTTCTTGCCCGGCGGGACTGTCGAGTTACCTCAGGCGGGGAGGGTACACTACGCTGTACGAACGCCGTTCAACACACGCGCCAATAACCACATCAACAACAACAACGCCCGCGAAGCAGTGGAGTAATCTCGGCAAGAGAAAGAAGCGAGGCTGAAGCTTACGGACTTTTCGGGACGAATCAGCACGGCCTCTCATCCGTGCGCTTGCCTGTTCCTTAAGTCGCAACACTGAACGACACCTCCTCCCGTCTCGCCGGTCGCATAAGCACGCGCCGCACCTACTGCACGTCGGTGGCAACGTTTACGTTTCGTGGTGTCCTTTTCTTTTTTCCCTTATTCTTTCACCCTATTTTTTTAATCACTTCCGCACAGCAAGGTTTTCACCCATACAGTACTCCGACTGACACTACACGCCAGGTTACCACAAAAAAAATAATCGAAAATCATAGGAGTATCTACTATGTACAGATGGCATCCGCCGACCAAGAAGCACACTTGAACTCTACTGGTGGTGAACTATCAGCCGTCATTTTGTCACCTTCAAGACCAGAATCCATCGACCAGTGAGCACACCATACGAGGAGGCGCCGTGGTGCCAGGGGTTCCGCACCGTAACCTCCCCTTCAAGAGGAGAGTAGTCAGCAGCTGTGCCCGCGCTCGCCTCGCGGTCATCCGAATATATATGTACTACGCGCCGTAGCGCGGATGTGGACACCAGGCGACCACTATCCATCCAACCGACACAATCAGCACACAAAAAGTAAGGGCTCCAGCAGCACACCAAAGCACACCCTCGCTCGCTGCCCACACCTCCTACTACCCGGCGTCTGCAGTGCTGTTTGTTTTTTCCAGCAGCAAGTCAAACAACTTGCTCGGATTGTTCCCTGGATCGTTCCTCTTCCGAGAGAATACGGCCGCTGATGGGCGCGGGATAATTACTACTCACGGCGTCACACCGCCATCGACGGGAAAAAAATAATGTAACGGTACACAAACACGGATAACCATCAAACGCACCCCGTATTTACAAGGCGGGCGGGCGAGCGCGGGACGTGTCGATAGAGAGCAGGACTACTACTAACGCTGTAGCGCCCATTCTTAGCGTCCCCCGGCCTGCACCAATCAACACCGCCGCTCAGCTCTCGACAAAGCACCACACCACGTAGGCTGTCTGTCTGTCTGTCTTCCCCGACCGGCCGGTACGGAAAATCAACCGGTACGGAATATCAAGCCTCAGGCCGAAGCTCAAACCGAATCCCATGCCGCTCGCAGGACTCCTTCGCGATGCAAGCACGCATAACTTGACTAGCTGGGAAATGCGACCGTTTCCCTCAGCAATTAACAAAAAAAAGGGGGGAGGGGGGGGGGAGGCACTCGTACAGGAGAGAGAGAACACCGAACCGTAACCCATCTGTCCTCGATTCTTCTCAAAGCCTCGAGCGCCTGCGACTGGCCGGCCCTACACACCAAATGCGCAACCGAGAGAGAGAGAGAGAGACATTCAGACAGAGATACATACCCGTCGCCGACTGTCGCGTAGCGTCCCACGCCACACCCGCACGAGTCCCCCCGCAGCCCCTCTGGATAGTCTAATCACACCGTTTCTCGCCGAAATCTCTCGTTGCCAGCCCAGTCTCGGACAACGTTTATTGCTGAACCCTCCCAACTCCCAACTCCCACCTCCTAACCATCGCGCCACCCGCCAGAACCACAACCAAAATCACGCAACCAACACCGCCCGACACCAAAACCAAGGGCAGGGGGCACAGCAGATGTGGTTGAAGCACCCCCCCCCACCCCCTCGCGTGCGCCCTTCTATTTCTCTCTCATCACACATAATGCACGCAATAAAAAAATGGACGTGCACACCGGCACATCGGGCTGTGCTGCAGCCAACCGCATTCGCCAGAGACCACCCCCTCCTTGACCACTGGGGTGTATTGCAGCCAACCGCATTCGCCAGAGACCACCACCTCCTCCTCCTTGGCCCCTCGCGGTCCCATGGCGCGACCGGCCGGCACCTCCCGCTGTACCCCAACTCACATTACATGGCCGGCCGGCTGGCTCTCGTCGTTTCCTGCTAACAATGCTTGTTGTGCCCAATGACGCCGCCGACCTGACGCCCGGGGTCCTGGACCACCCCGCCCCCCCTCGTGTAAACGCCGCTTTGTTTCTGATGGAGACCCGGCAGCCGCATATTCGGTAAGCCAGGGAGGGTAGGGTACCGCATAAATAAAAAAAAGCAGCAATACCAAGATGGAAAAAACGGCAGGGGCCAACAAGGTCAGGGGAGGGGGGGGGGGGCGNGGGGGGGGGGGGGGGGGGGGGGGGGGGGGGGGGGGGCGAGTTGTGGGCAAGGTGTTCAACGGCAACCTCCCCTTCGGACAGGGGAACGGCCAGGCGATTACTGGCTAGCCCAGGGTCCGGCTCTGCAGCCTATTTCAAGGAAACACAAACTTGAGGGGCATTCAACCACCCAACTACTGGAAATGAAGCAGACCACGTCATTGTTGTATGCACACGACAGAGGTACAACCAAAGCTTACACACACTACTAACCCCATCGCCCACAACAACAGTAGCAATAGCAGCAGCAGCATCATCATCATCATCATCATCAGCAGCAGCAGCAGCAGCAGCAGCATCAGTTTCAGCATCACGTAGCAGCAGCAGCAGCAGCATCATCAACAACAACGGCAGCAGCATCAGTTTCAGCATCACGTAGCAGCAACAAGCAGCAGCAACACCAACAACAACAACAGCAGCAACAACAACAACAACAACAACAACAACAACAACAACAACAACAATAACAATTTCAGCAAAAACGCGCAGTATGGTCCTATGACGACCCAACGCACCTTGGCCTCGACGCTGCGCAAGTACAGCCAGAACGGCACCGCCACCCCCACCAGCGGGAACACCGACCCCACGAGGTAAGGGAGGGCCCCCAGAGGGAGCTGCTGCCGCCGCTTCGACCACTCATAGAGGACACCAGCGACCTGTGTACGCAGAAGGAGGGGAGGAGGATAAAGGGTTGGCCCGGTCTTCAAAAACGTGTCTTAGAAAACGTCCCAAGTCCGTTTCCACAGGAGAGGCTTGTCAAAGCCTCCAATACGGCGACTAAGTACACCTTACAGTCTTCTAGCGCAATGGGGGATGCGATTGAGTGACTGCTAAGGAGCTGTCTCGACGACTTCACAGGACGTGAAACGCAGGAAAGAACAGCTCTCTCTCTTCCGCCTTGCGCCCTCCAGTCCTCCATCTCTTCTCTCTCCAACCCTCTCTCCCCTCCGTTCTCCGTAGAAGTACCTCCTCCAAAATGGAAGCAAGGATGTTTGCACGCTTGCACTCAAATACCCCCACACATGCCACATCAAGGCATTTCGACCGCGCCAGCCCTGGCGGCAACGCGCCGGTGGAGGCGGTGTCACTTTTCCTACGAATACGACGATCCATACATGATGATGAAGTATCCGCAGGAGGAACGCCCTTCACCCCTCCCTGTGTCATTGGTCGGGACCATCTCTCATATTGTATTGGTGTGGAGTTATCTCTCATATTAGTATTGGCGTGGAGTTATCTCTCATATTAGTAATGGTGTGGAGTCATCTCTCATATTAGTATCGGTGCGGAGTTATCTCTCGTGGCTCGTTTAAGAGTCTGACTAAACCACGAAGGGTTCGCCCAGATTGGTGTTTGTTTGTCTGCTTGCTGCGTTGCAACTGGCGTGCGTGCGCCTTATTGCTGGCACTCCCGCGGGTACGTACTTAGATTATTACCGTATCTTGCAACGGTTCTTTGAAAAATCAATACATTTTCCCTGTTTCACTACTACTGGGTCAACAACAAACTTATTGGGGAAAAGTCTATGGCCCTCCGTTATTATTTTATGTCGTGTGTCATAACAATTGCTCCATATCATAACTAAGTGTACCCTTCACAGGGAACGCGGCGCTGTGTCTTCCTTTTGACAACAGCGTGCTGGTTTAGTCTATGTGTTTATTTGCTGTTTAACGTCGGTTCTTCTGTGAACCATCAACGGAGAGAGTATTGCTCTACAAAAGAGTCATCAGGTAGTACTTCCGACTACTTGCTGCCAACAACGTTAGATCACTCACTTCGATTGCCCTCTTAACAACAAAACGAAAAATTATTGGGAAGTTGTAAGTATATGATAGTGTGTGCGTAGCGCTCAATGTGCATGAATGGGGGGCGCGCAAAAGTATTTCGATCGGCATCAGCCATCAAGCACAATACCACTCATGACGCTGTCAGACGTTGTTCTGTCGAACTTCAGGGAGGGGGGGGGG